GTGACTCGGTGAACACCTGCAGTGAACACGAGAACTTCAGGTCATCACTCTTCATTTCATTATTTATATATACTTAAAGGAAACTGAGGAACCTTATATTCACATAAAGCCAAGAGAACAACCTATGGGCAAGGAATAGAGAAAACCCCTACCCAAAGCAACACTATAGGAAATTCTTCCAATTGTTAATGATCATGGGAAGTCTAGAATTACAAAAGAATTTTGTCTGAATTGTGCACCACCAAGAGGCATCATGTTGCAAACTAATACAAAAAGAATCAAAAGACAAAGACTTATTTTCAAAAGTCCTTTGGGTTTCTTTCTCTCCAAAGGTCCGATGTAGTAATATTAAATAAATAAAAAATGTAGCATGTAGTATTGCTAAAAAAATGTAGCATGTAGATGTTGAAACTACTATCTTTCAATATTCCCAACCGGTCGCGTAGATAAACCTTAGCATGAGAAAAAATGGAAAGTCATCTGTTCAATATTGAAGCATAAGTCCATATCTGATGATTCACAAATTGCAGAATTTAAACCTAAAATATGAGTAAAGTTTGTATTAAACATCCTCAAAAGACTGTATGCATTAGAAAAAGGGAAAAAGCATATAAAGAGAACCACAGCCTAGGAGGACAACAAGGCTATCCTGTCCCGTAAGCAAAGCCAAGGACATCAGAAATTTTCCTCTAATTGATCAGAACTATTAAAAAGAAATAAAAAAACGAGTACTATTGTGCTCATTGGAAAAAGAAGGCAACAAAGAGGAAAAAGGCCCAAGAAATTCTTTTATGCGACAGAGTAAAAATGTTTGTTATCTGTAAAAGCATTGGGTGGGGGAAAAGACACAGCATTGGAACTTACTGGATGGTTGATGTTCTTATCATCTCCATTCAAAGCAGATTTCCCAATTACACGCTCAGATGACATATCTCTATTAGAAATAGACGTATTTACATGATCCACAGAACCGTTAGACTTGTCTTTAACAACAGAAGCTGGGCCATTATAGACCTTTCCAAACAAACTACCACTACCAAATGCTTTAGAAGATGACAAAAAGGTACCCCGCATACGATCAAGATACCTAGAACCAGCATATCCTCGGCCAAAATTATTTCCAGGGATATTCTTTACACTATGACATACTATGCTATGGCCTTTAGCACTCTCTGGCCCAAGCTTTTGACTCTCACGACGATCAGTCTCACTCTTTTTGTCCAAATCTTGCTTCCGTTCACTTTCTTTAACAGTTTTCTTCTCCAAATCTTCTGCATCTGAATTACTCTTACTTGAACTTTTGTCCTTTTCTTTTCTCCTCTCCTGGCATTTCTTTTCAGCCTCCTTTTTCCCGTCCTTCTCCCTGAAAAGTTGTGATGTTCTATCACGGTCCTTCACAACACCCTTTTTCTCATCCCTCAATTTCCTCCGTTCCTCCACCAACCTGGCAACCTCCTCCCTCTGTTTCCTCTCTTCCTCCTCCAATAATTCTCTCTCTAATCTAGCCTGTCTTTTCTCTTCAGCTTTTCTGCGGGCTTTTTCGACCCTACTCTCGGGGAAGTTACCCCCATTCTCGCCCATCTTAGCCAGTATCCCCCTATGCTCAGAATCAGATAAATTGTCTTCTCTTGATGAACTTATCCTGAACATTTTTCTCCAAAGCCATCTAATGCTCAAGAAAAAAGATGTAAAAAGCTTACAGCAGAAAATCACGATACCTGAGTATGACTTTTCTGCCAAACAATGTTCATCTCCTCCACAAAGACTGCTCCCATTTTGTCTCCAATAACTAGATTTTCCTGCAACGGACTTTCCAGCCCAACTGCCGCTCTCCAACCAATCTTGGCCAGACATCCACCCATTATCTGGCCATACCTTCTGATTCAATAATTTCCCACTTTTTCCAACGAGTTCCTTAATAATCCCAGAATTTGGAAATCCCGGTGGTATAGGCAAGTCTAAAACTGGCCTTTTAGAAATATGACCACAGCAGGAGCACATGAAGCGACCACCAGCAGGATTTTGATCCTTATATGGAGTTAAGCAGTTCCGACATCGTTTAGTTGCCGTTTTCCTGAGTTTCTGCAACTCAATGGCTTCAAATCTCTTTCTCTCTCTGAGCCGCGCATTCCTACGCACCCGCCAAGCTGACAGCTGAGGCATTAAAATCTCATACCAAAAGAGGGTAACCAAAAGCACAAAAACGCAAGCAAGCCTGGGTGATGTAATCTCAAATCTAAATGCAGGTGGCAGAAGCTGAGAGAGCGCCCAGAGTCCAATCAGCGGAATAACTAACCAAGGAAGCATTGTAGCAACCCGTCGAGACCACTTCTGAATCACGCAGAGTATACACATTATCCCCAAAACCCACGCCGCCTAAGCTCCACGTCAAGAATCCAACAACGTAACTAACCCCAAAACCACGGAAAATCCTCGATCTTGGCCTCCGGCAACCTCCCACCCAAAACCCTAACCCTAATCCCCCTCCCAATTGAAATGGCAATGAAGAAATTTCAAGAACGTTGAAGAACCCTAGGAGCTAAAAAAAAAATCTTGAAACCTTGCATACAGAATCCCAATCCTCCGTAAATGCCTCGAGAATCGGACATCAGCAGAAGCAGTGAAATTGATAAGTTAGAGTAATCAGATATCCCAGGGGATGGAGACGGTGGAAGCTGAGGGATTGCAAAGAGTAGCAGATGCGGGAGCCATGGCAGCAATAGATTATATAAGAATGAAAACCCAATTAAATAGAGATTCAAAACCAGAAAGGGCTCGGTCGAGAAGATGAAATGGTCCGATCAGTCCGGAAAGCGTCGGTGCCGTGGTCGAGGGCGTCCGTCCCAGCGAAGAAACTGTGATAAGAAAGAGAGAGATAAGAGAGCAGGAGAGAGAAGAGAATAAAAATGAAGGAATTTTAACCAAATTGCAGAAGCAATAATCCCCCATTCCACCTTGTGTTGTTGGACCCGGTCCACTCCATTGGACCGCTTGTCTCTCTCCCTCTCTCTCCCCCTTTCATTAAAGCTTCGCCTTAGGTTTGGTAAACGAATATTAGTTTTGTACTCACCCTTCTCGTAAATTACCAAATACCTTTCCCAATCGTTCCAGATGCAAATTTCCTTAACACGAAGTAAATATTTGCATTGATTAGAAATAAGTGGAAGCGGGAAATGAAATGATTGATGCTCTATGAACTTATTTAAATATTATGGTGTTTTAAAGTTGATGTTACAATTCTGGAAATAACAGCCTTTCCTACCGGCACCCTACAATGCCTTTCTTATTCTTGTTGGGCCTTTTCTGTTTACGGGTCCGCTTTCAGTTTGAAGTTCGGCCCATATACCAACGCTGTATTTTGCCCTTCTTTTCTTCTTTTCTTCTTTTCTTCTTTTCTTCTTTTCTTCTTTTCTTCTTTTCTAGTGCGCATCGACAGGCGGCTTGCAAGGGTAGAACCGTAAATGGGCTTCCTCATTGTGATCCACGAACGACTGGACATTTCTATAATTACCCCTTCGTCTAAACTTTCAATTATGTAATATATGTAACTTTTTGATCCACGATCCAGATTGGATTACAACTATCCTAATTTCGGTATTTCCAGAAACTAGGCATCGTCTACTTTTGTTCTAAAATTTTAATTCCATTCAATTACAATACATCCTGGTGCGCATCTTACTTTGTAATATGCTTTCATTCAAAAATATGTTTCCATATACTTTATTGTAAGATGTGTTTGTAAGCAGAATTGCTCGGAAGTTTTTTGGGTGAAATTCACACACCTCAACCACTCCCTTATAATGGTTGATACGTCCACTGTGATGAAACCCACGAATTCAAGCAACTTGCATTTGACTTACCAACCAATGGTCCAATACCTGCCGTTCGACCATTATCCACTCCTACTAATGCTAAACATTTATCGATTAAGACCATCCATTTTTTCTGTTTTGTATGAAAACATACTAATTTCTGATCAAATTGAGACTCTTTCCATCAGTAGCATTAAATTATTAGATATCGAGTCTTAATTAGATTGCTTTAATTTATATTATTACCTTTACAATTAGTGGATAACACTTGGTTCAATTGTCAAAGTTAGGGACCCATATGAATCTGATGAGAAAAGAAGGCTGGATTTTGCAGAATTGAAGTCAATGTCTTATGCATGTGCAAGTGCATAATTGAAGGTTGCATTATTAACTGAACCCCTCTGTGAGGCTCGTTTCTAAGGCTGCTTTTCAGCTCATTTCTAAGGCTGCTTTTCAAACTCCAACAACTAATCATGACAGTGATTGTGATATAGCAAAAATTATTTGCCAAATAACAGCTTCATTTTTCCTTCATTATTATCAAGTTTTAAATTTCTATTATGGTAGGGGTCCGTTTGATGAAGTAAGTGGGCTAAATTTAATTTTGGATTACTCTAAATAATTTAATTCCACTATAATATATTTGAAGTGTTGGCTTATATTTAAAAAATAAAATAAAGGAGTTCAAATTGTTTGTATATTTATTTGTTTTTGTGTGCCCTGTTGAAGTGAAGTGGGTTGAGGGCGTATATAAAAAAAAGGTATGGCTTCTGAATTCTGAGAAGGCGTGTTTGGTTATTAAGAAAGGAGAATGGTTAACGTAAAAGCGATGCCTTCTCCCCTCCCGGCTTCGCTTTTGACAATCACCAAATCTTTGTGACAGAGACGTGCGCGCATGAGAATCGGATTTATTGTTATTATAAGACCAAAATACACAAGACCCCACAACCTCAGATTTCCTTCAAGATTTTTGCCTCCCCCCTCCACTGGATTCATTCAACGTTTTTTTATTTGTTTTTCGCTACGACACCCAGATTATTGTCGTTTATGCATTTCGTAGACAAATATATATACACACTCAAAGGCCTGTTATTCTTACACGCATGTTAAAGCGTGCCCATTTTTTAATGCAACATGTTAACGTTTCAATACGCAATAATCGGGGAAGAAAATGAGTAATTCTGGAACCTCTTTTTCTTCTTAAATCTAAGTTTTTTAAGAGACTTCATCAATTGACTATTTTATTTTTAATTTCTACGAAAAAAAAACTGGAATTAAAAGGTCGGTGGGAATGTGTGATCAACGTTACATGTCAATGTCTAGAATGAATATCAAATAGAGTGGACAAAATAAATGAGAAGCCTTATTAACATGGACTAAAATGAAACAGAAGTTTTTGGGTTTTTGTTTTGCATTCCACAGTTAGATTTGGAGCATAAAAGAGGAAATATAACCTGAAACATTTATAAAAGTTTGCTGAGTTTATTTAAATCATTTGCGAGTGTGTGGATAAAGTAGAGAGGTGAGGTGAGGTGAGGTGACGTGACCGTATTGGTTGGGAAGCCCAAACGAATATAATAATGAAACGAGAGAAGAGCAGATTCATTACCATTTCTAATCTCTAAAAAGAAAATGGAATTTTTTGCCTTGACAGAGACAGGCAGGTATAACATAAAGGGCAACAAATTGCCTTCCAATAATTACAACCAACCTTTTCCAAATGAATCTTCCAAACTTTTTTTCTTTTTTTTTCTCTCTCTTTTTCAGGACTCATTCGGTTCACAAATCATTCAATTCCAACTTATATTTAAAATCCAGGCGCTTGTATGTTACTATTCAATAATTGAGTTTATTTGAAGCTTAGAATGATTAAGGAAGCATATGTATCATTTTATTTAATAACTTCATTACAAGCTCCTGGATTGTATTTGACTACCAAGTATTAGGAACTGAACAGCAAACACGAAGATGCTGATTTTATTTGCCAAACTAGTGGACTCCAATCTCCGTCATGTCGAACCAGATTTGCTTGAAAACTTTGATGATAATGTCGTGATACTCGTCGGTGTTCAGAGAGAGATAGCATGCAAGGAGATCTTCCAATTCATTGGACGCCCTGATTTTGTTCTCCACAATCATCTCCACCATTGATTCTCTGAAATCCCTCTGTGGATCGTTCGTTGACTTTACGATCGCCAGGCTTTCGGTCAAACTTCTCTTCGCCGCCGCCGACTCACTTTTCCGGCGTCCAACGTGACCAAATCTCTTGCTTGAAACTCTCGGAGAGTTCATAATCCGTAACTTTGGTCCCGGAGAGTTCACCGGAAATCGGCGCGAAGGGCTGCTTCTGGGTTCCTTTGCAAATGCTTTATCCTTCTTTGTGACGGTGATCGACGGACACGTAGACCCATCTGCGGCGTCGGTTTTTTCATGCTTGGATGAGGACGAGGATGACCTTGTAATGATTGGTGGCAGATCAATCTGCGCCGGGGATTTCAACTCTTCATCTGAGCCGTTGATTTTTTTGGCTGAAGTTTTGTGTCCCTTCTCGATAATGATGGCGTTGGCATCATCTTCAGCATGAAATGAATATTGACTTGAAAAAGGCGGTTCAATCCGGAGTTCTGGTGGAGATGGTGGAGGAAGCGGCGAGGCAGCTGTGACCGATTCTAGGGCCGTTCGCCCGCAGCTACAGCCGGAGGAGGAGGACGTAACCACTAACCTGGGTGAAGTCCGAGCGGCGGCAGTGGCGGCGTTAGCGGCAGGAGCTCTTCGCCTCGGCTTTCCTTTGGACGATTTTCTGGGTGGGTCAGCCGGGGAGTTACTAGATTCTCTGGCGGCAGCAAGTTGTCTGGTGAAATGATGGGATTTTCTTGGGTGAGAATGAAGAAGAACCTGGTGTGGGTGAGTGGAGGAAGTTGAAGAAGGCTCCTTTTTTTGGTTTCTTCGCCTAATAACGGCCATGTCTTTGAGCTTGTAAAACCAGGAATTGGGCATCATATCCGAGAGCCTAAACCTATAATTTCCCATCCAAATACTATTTCTCTCACCCGTTTACTTGCCTCTGCTTGATGCTGGCTTCCTGGGCGGAGGGTCCAGAAAAATGGCTCAACTTAAAGGCAAATGCAAATGGGGTCCACATGGTTCCTTGGCTTTGATTATGAGAGCTTAATTACCTAATTCAGGGGGAAAAAAAGGTCCCCTAGACCGTAATCATGATTATTGTCTTTCAACTAAAGTATTTATTATTTATATTAATGTTTTTACGCACAATGTTGATGTGTTAATCAAACTCATCAAAATGTATAAATAAATATATATATATATCAATGAAAACATTGACGTTTCTTAGGAGATCTAATACCCTGAAGATAAAGAGGGCTTTTGGCTGTACATTGTCACTTTGTTTTTTTATTTACTTTTTTTTCCTTTCTATTTCTCGCAAGACCAGAAACCAAAGGCAGCAAGTTATGCGATTGGATGTATTGTGTTGGTATTAATTAGACGATGCCACGTCACCATTCACATGCATGTTTCTAAAACGCTGTTTTGTTTTGGAAGCTTGTGCACGGTTTTCTAAAATCCATTTCCAAGCAAGTTTCCCCTTTTTCTTTTCTGGTTATAAATGGAAAGCTTTAAATAGATTATACCCAAATTTTAAGACAATGGTGATAGTTTAGGAATTTTGAGTAAGATTTTGTGTGTACAAAGTCAAAGGATCAAAGGTTATAACAGAAAATTAAAATGATATCCGTGGATAGATTGGTAGGTAGATAGAATAGAAGATAGAAGGCAGTTGCTTGTTTAGGAATGGCATTGAAAATGGGCAAAGCCCCACGAAAAGAGAAAATAAATCCAAAACCACAAACGTTTCCCTGCTGGTGAAAGAGGGCCGAACTTTGCTGCCAAAAATACATAATTACAAAAAAAAAAATGTCAGAATTTGAACACCAATCCCATTCGGGGTAGGGGAAACCATGCAAACCAAAAGGAGCACAACAGCATGTCTCCAAATATTCGACTCTACTTTTAAAAAGGACGACATATTACATTAGGTTTTAACAATTCCCACCCCCCCTTCTTCTTTCCAAAACCGTGTTTGATTTTAATTAATATATTTTTAACAAAAAACACAAATATATAGTGACAATCATTTAACACCCGATTTGAAACTGTCATCTTGTGAACTCTTTGTTAATTAAAACTCAAAGAATAATAATAATAATAATAATGACGTGTTTCATTAATCAGAAATCAAAACTAATGGGTGAACTTAATTGTGCCAAGCTTGGAATGGACCGATTAAAAACCCATCTGGACCAGAAAGTAGCCGGCCCAATGACTAACTCTTGCCCAGTTGGCCTCCCCTCGGGGACCAAGTCGCAAGGATTCCCGCCAGTCCAAATGGGACAAGTGGGAAACCGATTTTATGGACCGCCTGTTCTTCGAATGATTGGGCAAATCACCGTTGTCGATGGGAGAACCTCTAATTCTCTCGCTTATAGTTTCGCTATCGTCGCTGATTCCGATTTTGCTGACTTACGGTCCCGGGGACGTGGTTCCGACCAGCAAGATAGGACTGTATCAACTCGGTTCATTTTCCTATTTTCGTTTGTCGCACACAAGTTTTCACGGATGCTTGTTTGTATCTTCTTGTTTCCTACTACTTGTTCGTCTCTTTCTGAGATACATATTTTGTTTTTTTTCAGTCGACACCAGTCTGGGACATCATGATTGGTCGATATTCTCCAATTTTTGGCCTCAATCGCGAGGTATTCATCGATTGAGTTGTATGTGTTGTCCATCTTTTCGACATTGCTTCTTCATTTTCTGTTATGCTTAAATTTCTTTGACTTTACGTCGACTTCTAGGGGTGCTGAATTTTTTTGAACTAAAACTGACGGTTTAAGAGTACATAACTGAACAATAAGTGTCTATATATATCATAATCTAGTAACCTTATGCTTAAGTTCTTCCTATGATGACGAAAATGGATAGCGAAGATCGGTTCTTCCAGAGTGAGAATTATAATATACTCGGTCCAATCGTTTTACTAGCTAGCAACCTGCTGAGGATACTCTTACTCCACTGTAGTTTCGATTATTTATTTCCATTCTTATAGTGTTATCTCTTAGGCTGTATGAAGAAATTTATTGCATCGCTTTTTTCTTCTTGAAACATATACTTTAACAAAGGAAAGGTGTAAAACTATTTGTAGTATGGTACAACCAATACCCGAAGTTGAAATATCTCCTCTCTTCATTTGCCTGTCTTTTGAAATTTTAGACGGTTGCAATATTTTCTAATGCCTGCTATCTATCTCTGAGTTCGTACTGTTTCCCTTACTAAGTTCTTAACACTGTTGCATCGCACCTCTATGTGGAAATGGAGGTGGTTGACCCTCACGATGAGAGTGTAGGCGACGTTTACGGATTACAACCTTCAGGTTTTTTAATGCGCATTATCTCCTTATTTTACCTTTAGTTTTGGAAAAAAATGAATGTATGCGTCCAAATCTTTGTAGGTTGTGTCAATTTAAACATGAACTATAATCCTATCAATTAAACTCATAAACGATCACTAGACTAGAATTGATGTATGAAAACTTTTCAAAGGAAATCTTAATTAAGAGTCTAATTTGATTCATTTATGAAATTTTAGGGATTTAATCGATAAAATAATAAGTGTCTGATGTTATCAAACTGAACTTGTTGGAGGGTTCAGGGTAAATTGAACACAATGTAGGTATTATTAGTTCACTGGATTGCTTTTGTATTTGTCACAATATCTTATCCTGTTTTTTGGATTATTACATTTCTTAAGTCATCTGGTATCATACATTTTATTTGAGTGTGGATCCTTTCAAGTTGGAAAAGAGAAGTTCCGTGTTGCATGGCTTCTTGTGATAAATCGCAAGAGTGCAGAAGTTCCTATGATCGATGTCTACATGGTGTGGTAGCTATTGTAGATGGATCAGATAGCTGTTTATTTTCACAGTTCATCGATGGACGATTGAGTCTCACTATTGAGCTGAGTTGTTAACTACTTACATCTAACAACCATCGTTAATTTGTTTGTGCTGCAGGGATACTCTGGAAGTGATCTTCATGGTGTGACTGCCTAAGTAGTGGACATTCCCCAACTCTGTTAATGCTCTCCACACTCCTTCCTTAACTCATACATAGAATTATAGTTCTTTTTGCCTGAAAATATTTTTGTTTCTAGGTCAGATGAAACCAAACTCTGTAAAAATCAATAAGATATGGGGAACGGGCACCTAGATGCAGCCATAGAGCCTTTTTGTGGCTAGCTCTTAAGCTAAACATTATCCACTTTAATCACATATTTAAAACTATTTTAGAATTTTTTATCTAAAATTCCTATTCGGCCTTCTTCAGATCATTGATGCCGTGAAAATGTTTCTCCATCTAAACAGAGCACAACTACCTTCATCTTTTCTCCCTTGAAAAGTAGGTGCCTCCAACTTAATTGCATATCAACCACAAGCACAATTTCATTTGCTCTCTATTACTTGCCCAACCGTCCTTGGTAATTTTAGAAGGCAGCACCCCTATCAACACATTCCCTCAATCCTCTTTTGCCTTCTCTCTCCTCGCAAGGTCATTTCTCCCGCATCACATACCTTCCAATTTCTAAACAAGCTCTTTTCTCCACCATGTTTTCCACTCCAATGGCCTTCTCTTCAATAGCATTGGGTTTGGTTCTTTCGGTTCGTAGTCATTCCCCATAACTGTATTGCTGTGTACTAGAATTGATAGATCTACTATTATTTAATTTGTCAACAATAAATAGGTGCCTAGCTTGAGAATGATTTGAGGGCTCTCCCTTTATCCCAGACACCACGACATTAACCCAAAAGGTACTTTTTTACCTATGATTTACCCTTACTGAATACTACTCTTTGCTCAGCTTTCTCGCCCTTCTATTAGTTACACCACCAAGTCACAAACGATAGTCTCATACGATTTACCTGAACAACGACTATCCACTGGGCAGTTCCCAACTCTCTTCCTCTGATATACATGATGAATATATGGGGTCCTATCAGAGTTCTCCGGTATATAAATGTGGAAATCCAATATGTTACACAAGAAATCATTTCCAGTAAATTTCTAACAGCTGTTTTATGTCATTATTCATATCCACCTTTCTCTATTCTCATATAATGGGTGGATATATCCTCTAGCTTTATGCTTGAAGTTGTTTCCAATGCATTTCAAACAGTTGTTGTCATTGCTTCTATCTATTGATTGATGCCATGATGATTCTTGCAGTACAATTTAAAGTTCAGATAACACATTCAGTATCGAATGTTAGTCTAATACCTGATAGGAGGACTGATATTATGAGTGGCTTTCTGTGCATTTTTGAGAACCTGTTGAGAGTTTGTTATCTGTGTTACTCCTTGGAGTGAAGTTTTTTCTTGGCCTTCTGATTTACTTTATTCTCAATAGGTATTCACATATTAGCAAACAATTTTGGGATCACAATCATTGGCCAAAGCGTATCATTGCCCGTTATACATGGTAAGTCGGTGAATTTTATCTTACGGATCGGAAGCTTATTTTACAATTCTTATTTGCATGACATGGATTCTTCCATTTACCATTGGTAGTTAAGCCAATACTTCGCATATTCCAAAATCCAAACGTGGTAAATCAGATCCTTAGTATATCATTATTTAAAGCATAATATCAATGATAATGGCGTAGTTTCTGCAAGATCGAACATAATTCAAATATTAATCTACATTTATTTAATTCTTTTGAAATCAGAGTTTTAAATCTAACTGCTTTGCTAAATGTACTAGGAAGAAGAAGAAGAAGAAGAAGAAGAAAACACTGACATCCTACGATTTGATGTGTCTGGTACATTGATTGTGAAAGTATAACTAAACAGTCAGAGAAAAGGTGGAATGTACAGAAGAAACATGTAAGTGAATAATTGGTAGGGTTACGTGTTCAAATGTGGCAAATCATATTGTCCCTGGACGCTTTCTCAATAACAACATAGATTCATAATACAAAATGCACGTGATTGAGACTAAGCTTTTCCGCAACTTTCTGATAAACCTATGTTCTTGGCGTGTTCTAGGGAGGAGCAATCAGAGATTGATGTGACTTCCGGATTATATGTTTTGTTCGGACCAGGTAAAAGCATTTATTACTTCTACTGCTGTGCTATTTCCTTCGTTGTTAGGGATTCCTTCTGATGACTACATCCTATGCATCTTAATAATTCACATACATCAACCATACAAAATAACAATAGCTGTCAAACTGTAACTTTATTTTGTATGATAAAAATTGAATATGATTCTTAAAAAATATATTTTTAAGCATAATTAATATTTATATTTATAAAGTAGTAGTAGATGGAAAGACTGAAAAGGAGCAAAAAGGAAAGAACAAAAAAAAAACTCAAATTTTGAGGACAAGGTACGAGAGACGGAAAGAAAGGCTCTGGAGGTGTTAGATATACGCGCGCGTGTGTTGAAAGAAAATAAATAAATAAATAGACAAGTCATAGATGCTAGAGAAAGAAAGGTAATCTAGATGGAAACATAGCCTAGAGAGAGAATTACGTTAGAGGGAATTGACTGTCGGTAAAGGATAGCGGGATTTTGAAAACAAATGCCTTAGCGACAACACCTTTTCTTTTTGTTTCTATTTTTCGGAAACAAAACCAAAAATATTTCATTACTAACTTTAGTTTTAGTTTTAGTTTTAGTTTTTTTTTTTTTTTTTTTTTTTTTTTTTTTTTTTTTTTTTTTTTTTTTTTTTT